TCTATCGTCGTTGGAAACCCCGCTCTGTGTGTGTGTGTGTGTGTGTGTGTGTGTGTGTGTGTGTGTGTGTGTGTGAGAGAGAGAGAGAGAGAGAGACGTCCTTGGGAATCCGCAGGTCAATATAGCTGCGGCCCGACCGCCACCGCCGCCCATTTTCTTTTTTATTCTTTTTCTTCTTCTTCATAGTTTCTTCTTTTTCTTCATAGTTTCTTCTTCTTGTCTTCTTATTACCACGCACCACTTCTCACCCCCTGCCCAACATCTTCCACCACCCATCTATTTCTTTTTTTTCTCGTCTTCTTCTTCCTCCTCCCCCCTCCCCATATTAACTTTTTTATTGCAGATTCGGGGTCCTCTGGGAGACAGCGGCAAGAACCCACTATCAAAAAAAAAAAATGAAAAAGAAAATGCTGGGTTTTTGCATCACCCGGGTTCGCCGGGCGTCGGCCCAGCCTAGCTTCTTTTCACATTGTGATTCTTATCCTGCGTAAGCATACAGTGGTTGGCAGCCTTAATAACTAGTCATGGACGACTGGAGGAAGAGGGATTCAAACCCCCGACATGCCAATTATGATTCCGCTGTTCTTACACCCCCCCCTACTTTGCACCAATGCACCAATATTACACCAATGGAGAATCGAAACAGTGAAACCGAATGTCAATGAGAGCTTACTCTCCAGGCCCTTCTCCCTACTTTGCGCTCGGCCGGCCCCCAGACTACTCCCACACAGCTACTATCTGCCTGCGAATTGACAATGCAACTGTTGACGTCAGCAGCCACCGAAGTACATGAAGATGTCGCTTTCACCCACGTCTTCTCCTTCATGCACGAAGACCACCGCTACCCCCTTGCTGTGTACCCAAGCACCAGCCAGCTATGGAAGCTGGGCTACAGCGCTCCCCTCAGCAGCGCCCTTCCCTCTACACGACCGCACGTGCGTTGCACCTTGCTCTGCGCTAGCCGCAACCCGCAAAGGCTCGCTCCAGCAGCGCTGCCGCATACTAGCAAGTGCCCGAATGACCGGCCTATGTGGAAAGCGTCTGCCTGTGCGCTGCCTGGCTGGGCTGGGCCTGTGCCCAGAAACTTCCCGTAGGCCCGGAGTAGCTGGGCCTCTGCTGCTACTGCCCTGGGCCCCGTTTGGTTACGCCTCCCAACTGCCTGTCGTGTGTACTGCGGCGGATGCGGCCCAGGGCCTACTTCAAAGAAAGGACTGGAAGGCCAAAAGGCCAAAACAAAGTTTGGCTGGCCGTGGCCTGGGTTCCTTCAACCAAATGACGCGATGCTACTGCCTGAACCCCACATGCGAAATTGACAGCAATGGGCCCCTCGTGATTTCATCAGGCCCGCCTTCACTTAGGGCGGGCACATGCCAAAAATGGGGCCCTTAGGCCTGCCGAGGAGCCAAATCCTTGCAGCTGAACTTGGGTGCTCACAATGCTGCCGACAGGAGCTGCTACTCGACAACATTTCGCCTATTGCTCGCACTATCAATAAGCGCACAGCATCGTTAACCAACAAAGTCGACTAGACCTAACAGGATACCCGACGCCGCATTAGCTAAACCAGCAGTACCTCACCCAGGTAAACTTCAGAACCAAAGATACAACAGTCCAGGTTCTTTGAATGAACAGTGCTACCGAACCAAATGGCTGGAGCCTGGTGACACCAACCAAAAAAACACGAACACCATTGGTGTTTTTTTTTTTTTTTTTTGGCATGCAGGGGGACTCCGCCTCTGTAAAATGAAGCTCAGAGGTACATCATCAATTTCAATTTCATTTTTAAAGAGAGACAGGAAGTCAGCTGAACCAGATTGTAGTATTCTTTCTCCCCGATTACAATGTGAGCAGTAAACGTATTGGTGGAGTTTGAGGCAGAGACTCACCACATTCGCTGGGCAGAGACCTGTGGAGAAGAATTGCCACGAGCAGGAACACCGCATGCTGCCACCTAGCGCCCATCTCCATTAGTAGCTTAACCACCTCCCACTCGCCTCCTACCAGGCTCGTGCCTCTGTATGTTTACGCCACGTTTCTATTCCCCGACTAAAGACCGGAGTGATCTGCACTTGATCTAGTCTGACCTGTCAACAAAACACTGAGACATTATACATAGACCAGCAGGAATGCCCATTGAGGCCAAAGACCCACAGGTAAATAAATACGAGCAGAACTTCGGCAGAAGTCGTCGACAAAAACCCCACACGGAGTAAGTACAAGTAACACCAAAACCAACCACTCGTCAAAAAAAAAAAAAAAAACCACTCCCACGACCACATCACAAAAATACACAGTCAAGAATTCAACATGTCTTTCCCAAACGAACCAACGGGCCTAGCTCAGTTGGTACACCCATGAACTGTTGAAATGCAAACCCAAGTTCGAATCCAGATGCAATCAGGATGAACAGAATAAAAATAGTTCAAAATAACCTACGGCCAGTCAGGCGAATGATGATATGGTACCCCAACTGTTGGATATTAAAAAAAAAAAAAAAAAAAAAAAAAAAATCAAAAAAGTGTGCAGCTGTGCTACCAGTAAGTTCCCCAGCCAGCAGAAGAACCTCTGAAGGCAGGCCATGGTTTGGGGGGAGGGACAATCCGTAGCGGCCCATCCCTTTGTATAGGCGAGTCTACCTTCTTCCCTGAATTACAACTTACGGTCATTATGACCAGGAATTCACCACCCCTCGGGGTTTAGGGTTCAGGGTTTAGGGTATAGATGCAATGAACCAACCTGTCACATTGATCCGGTATGCTCAAGTAGGCAGGATTGAGACCAGTCTCCGCATCCAGCTTCGAGAGAGTACCCAGGGCTTGAGCCCATTCTTATCTTCAAATAGGCATCCTCATATTGATGGGCAGAGCCATAGCGAGCTGAAGCCAATCCGAATTCGGATTCGCAAATCCACAAAACAATGCAGACACTTCCTGAAAGTGCAAGCCTCAAAGAACTGTGGGCGACTTTGAGAGCTGCCATGGAAACACATACAAGACAAAAAAAAAAAATGCAATGAGACAAAACTACAAAGCTGACCAAATTGTGGGACCGAAGACAATCAGATATCGTCCTAGTCTCAGCCATGAATACCAACAAGAGATTGGTGGATGTCTATTCAACGACTGTGCCAGCACCTTATGAGAAATCAAAGCTTGAGAAAAAAAAGAACAAAAAGAAAGAATCGATTCAAAAAATGCCCAGGCTCCCTGTCGTTTCTTTTAGAGGATTTTGTAAATCAACAACAAAAAAAAAACAAACTAACATATTCTCAAAAATTCTCTCTTGCATCTAAATGACAAATAATAAACAAAATCATTCATAATTTCATAAATTCATACATACAATTAATTCATTCTCTCTCTTGAATACAAAACATTCAAAATTCGGGCCTAACGCAGTTGATGCACGCATGCACTGTTGAAATACAGATCTCGGTTCCAGTCCCACTCAACTGGGGCCTGTCAGTTTAACGATGATATCCGAGGGAGAAATATTTAATATTCATCCTCTCATTCCGCACGCTTGAAACAGAAACAACTCTGCATACTACAACAACACCCAATTCCCTTCACCTTAAATCGCTTCACTACACAACAGTCTACATGCATTTGGATGCTTTCTAGTCTAGATTCAAAATACAACAACACAACTCCCTTCACCTTAAATCGCTCCACATAAACAGCAGTCTACATGCATTTGGATGTTTTCTAGACCAGACACATTCAAAATGTTGGACTCTTACGAATGCACCCAGAAAGCGTCCAGATGCATGTGCCGAGTTGTGTAGTCGAAAAAGGCCCCTTTTCAGCACATTTACACAACTTTTCATACCGTGCTGTTGAACCCGCACATACCTGACCAGAGACTGGAAGAGGGTTAGAAATCAATCTCCTGCACCCTCGTTCACTTGAACGCACCTACTATCTCCGTGACGGCTAAAACAGTCGCAAACCACTACTACCGCCATCTCTGCGCCTACTTTCTCTGATGCTCAAGTTTACCCACCCCGGGCTCAGCAAGCCGTTGCAGGGGTCGCGAATGGTAGTGGAAGCCATCTATGTTGCATTTGTGACCAGAGCTTGTCTTATGTATATAGCCCTTTTCTCTTCTTTCTACCTCCTGTTCTTAAAAGCGGCACACGACCTTCAAATATCTTCGACTCAAGATAGAAAAGGTCGCTCAAAACTTCATGCGCATCTCCCTAGGTCCACCCGCCCCCAGAATGCGCACCCCTGGCCGCACCCCGCCCCCCCTTCTCCTGTGTCAAGCAGTAGGGTGGCATGAAGCCACAGTTTCACTTCCGAATTTCTATTACGAAACGGATAACAATTGGCTCTCAGCCAAAAGCCGTCTACTATGAGATTCTAGAAAAGTTTTCTACTTCCCATGGATTCTTTTTCGTCTTCGGAAAAAAAAACAAATTGCTTGGGATCTAAGGCGTCCGACCGTATTTCTGTAAAAGTACGGCAAAAGCTTTTGGGGGATATGCGACTATACATCGATAGATTCAGTAGTATCTCGCCCCTGTGTCGACAACCCACAGTGGCAATGGTTAGACTTCGGTCTCCGTGAGGATATCTCCTTTTCATGTTGGACATCGCATCTTCAATGAGAGTGACGCCTCGCACAATGTTCATTTCATACAACTAAAGTGCGCTGTGGATTTTTAACTCTTCTTAAATTCAGCACGTCCCCTGTGTTTGCTCTTCTGCCTAGACTTTGCCTCTTGGCAACCAGGTTGGCCAAACACAAAGTGAGGCCCTCATCCCAAGCCACCAAGGTGAAAGCCTTGTGCAGATGTCAATACCCTTTGTTTCACTCCAGCGATGTCCATGACACGTCTCAGACCATCATAAAACACCTAAGCACCAACCACTGACAACATTGCAGAGCCGACTGGTAGGCGGTTGCTAACCAGTCCCAACACTAATCGAGCGAGTGTCGCACAGTTTGGGGATGCCACAAACCCCCAGAGTCATTTGCGAGAACAGAGCTCCCGCACGGTTAGGGTGGGAGGGGAGATGGAGGGGGGTTCAGAATTTGTGAAACAAGATCCCTGATAACAGACCAGTGATAGAATTTGGATTGACAGAGTCTGAAATCGCTGGGGGAGGTGGGGAAAATCGAAGTGCTGTGTTAGAAGCCAAGTTCAAAATGGGCACAAATGTAAGGGGGTTCAATGATTGAAAATCTAAATAAGGATGCTGGCAATGGCAGCGGAACAGCAGCACTACGACTTCAAAATGGAAGTGCCTCCAACATGCCCGATACCTGCTGAACTCACGACTTTAGACCACGACAGTCACGTCATGACCAACTGTAAACAGAGCCAACAACCCCCATAGCAGTGGTTGCTGCTGTTGCAGCTGGGAAGAGGGAGGGGGGNGAGAGAGAGAGAGAGAGAGAGAGAGAGAGAGAGAGAGAGAGAGAGAGAGAGAGAGAGAGAGAGAGAGAGAGAGAAAGGTGATGTCATCTACCCTGACACCCTGCTTCTCCTGTCTGGGGATTTCCACCAACTTGAAACATAAAAGAATGTCATCGAACACCAAGAGCAATGCCATGGCCATCAAGAGGAAGTTCATTAACTGCAGGCAGCAGAGAGCAACATCTCAAGAGGAAAAAAACTTTCACACCATACCGCCAGCATAGCCATCTCCTGTACCACACAGCATACCATATCTCGTACAGTATGCCATACTGAGCCATATGGGGGAACAGATTGGAGATGCCACAGCACTGTACCGGCGTGCAGTAAGCTTGATAGTTGAACATTATTTCCAGCCCATCCTCACAATTGTGACGATTTTTCAATTTCAGTTTTCTTCTGTACAGAAATATTTCCTCCATACACATCCAATACGTCAACAGACTCAACACCTATCTGGTTTGACTGTCCACTCCGCTACTTCGCGATATAATGACGCACAAACAAATACATGTGCAGTAAGTTTGATGTTCAACCAGCCCTTCCAGCCCATCCTCACAATTGTGATAATTTTCTATTTCAGTTCTTCTTCTGTACAGAAATATTTCCTCCATGCACATCCTGAAAGGGTTTCACCCAGTTCACAGGACAATTGCAGATCCCACTAGCACTCGATCCCTAGACCTGCCCTAACCTTTTTTTTTTTTTTTTTTTTTTTTTGGAAGAAACCCCCCGATTGGCGCTAGGGGTGCTGGTAAGAGCAGGCACCGCTAGCGCCGTCAGGAGGGCTCCATCTATTGGTGGGGAGCAGCACCTGCTGGAAAACGGGTCCAGCGTCCCTGTACATGGTAATCATATGATTGAACAGTCCAAAATTTTTGAAGGGTTATAGTGTATGTGCTTAATCTGTTGTGTAGTGGTGAGCAGCATTGATTGCCTTGCTCAAGCACACCGTGCCCATGCTGGAAAGCGGGTCCAGCGTCCCATTGTCATGTAGTCAACAAAACCTCCAAAGCAAACGATCCACCAGCAGCGCTTGGGCGTGGCGTTCAGGTGAGCAGCATTGATTGCCTTGCTCAAGCACACCGTGCCCATGCTGGAAAGCGGGTCCAGCATCCCATTGTCGCGTAGTCAACAAAACCTCCAAAGCAAACGATCCACCAGTAGCGCTTGGGCGTGGCGTTCATCCTGGCGTTCATCCGGGCTCCTGCCTGGCCCGAACGAAGAGTCCTAACCTTTTTTTTGTACAGACCCCCAATGACCCTATGTGTGTTTTGACCCTGCAACCTGTCCCTCGACTCATGTACAAATGTTTTACCTATGTACTCCGGGTCGTATGGACTTGAGCCGTACTATTAGTAGTCTGAGGGTCAATCCTATAGGTTAGCCCTAAGTCTACAATCCTATAGGTTAACCCTAAGTCTAGCGAAGGGTCAGTCAGTCGAACCTAAGAAGTTCTAGAAGTCGCTACTTGGCTTTTCGGAACTGTAGGAGTCAGTCGTCCGAAGCTGAGTCAGCAAGATACACTCCAATCCTAGTCTAGTAAGCAGTCCCAGTCTCAGTCCCAGTCCCAGTCCACCTTGTCCAGTCAGCAAGTACCTGGTGGGGTTGCACACTCCTTGGGCCTCGGTCCGTAGGCAGGCCAGACCACCGACGAAACAGTATAAATAAAGAGGCAGCGCCAGCCATTAACAAACTTGCCGGCGAGCCATGCGGAAGTGCTGCTTGTGCGACTTCTGCATCGGAGGTCTGCAGGAGCCCGACAAAGAAGAGGGCAAGTGGCCATAGCCGCTAGAGGAGGAGGAAGATGTTGAAGGCCGTAGTCGCCGAGTTGCTGACGTCAATAGATAGAGTGCAGTGTGTGTGCGTGCAGACATTCAGGGTAGATCCCAGTGCGGGTGTACATGCGTGTGAGTAGCGTGAGAGTGTCTGATGGTGGATACAGTGTTCGGGTGGGAATTCCGACAGGAGTTCCGACGCCATAGCCGCAAGCTGTAACAGTTGACTTAAACCACCAGTACCTTGCCCTGATAAAAATTCCCGAAGCGGCCGTTAATGCACCGTGTCGGACGGGGGTCACAAGACTCCAAAGTAGTCGTTCAATTTTATAGGCTTAAATGCCGTGAAAAAAGAAAAAAGAAAAAAATTCCACTGCGTACCGGAGCTGCAAGGGAAACGAAGTCCAAAGGGTCATGCTCACACCAGTGCTTCCCCAAAAGGACCTGTCCTGTATCTAAGATAGATTCACCTTTCTTTTTTTTTCCTTTTTTTTTCCTTTTTTTTTCCTTTTTTTTCCTTTTTTCTTTCCTTTTCGTTCTCTTTAGATTCTCCTGCCACTCATAAGAATGTACCCAACCTGTTTCAGGGCTTATGCGGATTTCTTTTTTTTTTTGGGTCTTCTTCTTTCTTCACGACTCAGATGACGCGTCATCTTTCTTTTTTTTTCTCATCTCTTGTGTTCATGGTCATTACAACAATCTGGCGGGGCTGATGGACTTGGCACAGAAGGCATGCTCACACTCACACTTGGAAGAACGTATGCAGCTT